TTCATAAATATAAAAACTTTAATGTTTAAACAGCTTAAATAAAAAATTATGATATATACAGTATATAGGTATAAATGGCAGTAATAATTTAAACAGATATGTAAACAGGTAGTCAACAGTAAATAATAGTACTATAAATGCAAATCTATATCAATACGCTGTGAATGAAGTGCCTAGTAGCCGTGTTTCCATCCAAATGTATTGCAAATTTTCACTGAATATCAGCAGAGTTGTTTTAGTCTTGAACCTGTTGCTGAACACATCACAGTGAGCATCTGTTCATCTTTTATATTTTAGTGATGTAGTGTAACGTGGCCTTTAAAATCAATCTGCATTAACACACCAGTATATAAATATAAAAACATAATAAACATAAATTACTTAGATATGAATTAAATAAATACATTTTCATTCAGTATTCAGATAAATTGAAACCAATAACTGCCTAAAACAGCCAATGATGCTTACTATAGCATCAATGGCTGTTTTAGGCAGTTATATATATAGTGAACATCAATGGTGAAAAGGAAATGGACTATACTTGTATAGTGCATTTCTTATCTTTGACTACTCAAAGCACTTTAACACAACATGCCACATTCACCCATTCACACACATTCATACAGTGATGGCAAAAGCCATCAAACGGAAACTAATACTTAATTAATTCACATTTAAACACTGATGCACAGGATCGGGAGCAATTTGGGGTTAAGTGTCTTGCTCATTAGTGATGAGCAAGCTGATTAGTGGACAACCTGTTCTACCTCTGAGCTACTATCGCCTCGAAAGAAGACATGTTTAGTGAATCTTGCAAACACAGTGGTATTTAAGGCTCCTTCAGTTGTGTTGGTAGTGCTGTAGATTCCTAAAAACAATTGCAAATAATCAATTACCACAAAGTGAATTACATTCAAACCTCTTTGAGGTTTTCAGGCCCCTGGGGGTCTGGGGCCTCACAATGCTTCCCCACTCTGTATAAGCCTGCCAGTAATGATAAACACTTTAAACTCCATATTGTCCCAATTTCCCACTACTGACTGATATTGAGCTAGCTAGCTAACTGAGAGCTACACTGGGTTGCTACTATCACATTGATATTGACTGATATGAGCGGTCATTGAAGTCAGAGTTAAATAATAATAAATAATTAAATTTTATGTTAATAATAAATTAACATAAAATGATATGTTGATATGTGAGTAGTTCAATGATACTGGTGGAATTGTACTGTAGAAAGGTGAGCTACATTATACTGAATGTATCAAGACAACAGGCAAAAATGGTTAAGTGTTTGTAAATGGTAAATTGATCTGTACTTGTATAGCGCCTTTCTAGTTTTGCTCAAGGATACTTTGACATCCAGCAGGAGGAGCCGGGGATCGAACAAACAACCTTCCAATTAGTGGACAACCCACTGGACTACCTTTGAGCCACAAGCCGCTACTGCCTTAAGCTATTGTCTACTGACTACTGGCAGAGGAAATAGGTCTCACTAAACTATTTAATATACTCATAAAACAAGGGAAATTATAAAAAAAGGCCTGTTTTTCCTCAATTTCTGTTTCAAATAAAAACCAGGGGTAGGCCCCAGCTATTTATTTGAAATAGTACAGCACAGTATTTATTGAATGGAACCTGGGCTGGGCTATATTATACTGCATTCTTTGAAGTCTTGTGAGATTACTGTCAAAATGTTTGGGATGATTATGTTGGTCAAGTAAGTAAGAAGTAATAATATTTGAAGAAAACCCATGAGAAAATCCTTTAGTGCTCCTTCAAAAACAATACAATGTCCTTTCTTTTTCCTTTAATCATTTCATTTACAGCAGACATCTAATATATCAGTTTCTAACCATTTATCATCTTTAAAAGTATTTTTTCATTATCATTACTATCTAAAACAGCAGCCATTTTCACAGTTTTCATTAGCCCTCAAGCCAGAATCATCCAACCCAAAGCTAAAGCTAAAGTAATAAAAGACAAACATAATAGATCATTCAAAAAGCTCATGCACATTCTTTACTCCCATGGAATACAGCATGATAAGCCTGGATACAAGCTTGTGCCAACTGATTCGCTTGGGTTTTACTAAGATAAACTGGATAAAAACAGTAGTAGCATTATCCACAAATATTGCGTAACCTTCTTTTGCTATCAAGTTTTCTGCTATAGATAAGGAGTACGAAATGCATAGAGAAAGTGGTGACTATCATCATTACTAAGATTGAAACTTTACTAAGATTTAAACCTGTAAACTGCATAAATACATTGTCACCTGGGACTCATAAACAATTGTGCTTTTATATACCTTTGTTTTATGACTTTATAGTAGGCTTACATAGTACCTAACCCATAATGTAATAGCACTGCATTTGGCTGATGACTAAAGGTGTGTTCAGACCAAATTCAGAAACAAATATGAACTCATGAACTTGAATTTTAATTTGTCTTTGTCTTGTCTATTTGCACAAATATGACAGCTGGAGTGGTTTTGCAGTTTATTTTTATTTGCCCCAATGTGGCTGTACTGACTGTAAGCTGTAAGCTTGCATGCAGTGTACTCATAATCATAAGCCAGGTGGGTGGGTTCCTTGTGTTTGTTATCGTGTATGATTTTTGTGCCTTTACAAGCAAAGTGCTTCATAACTGTTTAAAATCTAGCATCTTAATACGCTCAAAGTATGTATATACATTGATATTTTTGTATCTTTTAATGTTTCCATTCCATTAAAAGGTACTGCTAAATCTGTTTATGTGCATGGCTCATGCATCTGTCTAGCGTTACAGCTGAAAAACCAGCTGGTCATTGCTCAGCTGTGATGTGTTGCTATGGATGGTCCATTCCTGGTTCAACACTGAGAGCTGATCATCTTGATGAAGAAGTTTAATATTATGAATAAATAAATCATGTTTAATATATGAGTAATATCATTTCACACTGATCTACTAGATACCTTTATACATTCATTATCCATTAGTTCACTGTAATTTATGGTTTAGCTTTTTAAAAAAATCTGTTATAGTAGTAGGAGTAGCAGTAGTAGTTTGAATAGAGAAAGACACCCTACAGGGAGTGCATGGCAGTAATTCAGTGCTATGATATCATGTAAAAATAGAATAAAAAGAAACAAAAAGTAGTCTTACCACACTGGTCTCCCACTAAATCATGGGAAAGGGGTGACTCCCAGTTTAGAATTGTTGAAAGTAAACAAATAAATGCCCTTTTAGCATCTTATATGCCAGATTTTAAACATGTTACAATGTAAAAGTGTGTGACAGTGACAAAGTAACATATAGAAAATAAGGTGTGCACTAAATTACATAATTTTGGCCTCCTGGTTTGTGATATCCAATGTGTGTGTCCGTTTATGTGAAAGATTCTGATTTATCTCAAAATTTACCAGAAATTAAAATTATTTCTGGTACTATTTCCAGTCTCTCATTTTTACTCTAGTCTTTACAGGTTTATGAATTGGAGTCATAAAGCCTTGAAACATTTTCAAATCAGTGCTAATTTGGTAATCCTAATCTTGAAAATATGTTCATGTTCATGTCCATGTTAACTAACCTGCCTTTAAAATTGGCTTCAGTGTGAACACACCTTAACACTGCCCTATCGGCAGATCCGTGACATTGGTAAAATAACCTAATAACAATATACCTGTAACACCAAAGCCTTCTATCAGTATGTTTTTTTGGTAAAATCTTCATTTTGATTAACAATAAATTAGGCACCTTTGACAAACTATGGAAATGTCCTTTAGAAAATTGAGGCATTCACAAGAAACAAAGTGTAAGACTGAAAGTCATCTTTTAGGGATTCATCATGCTGTAGTGCATTTACCCATGGGTATCTTAAAAAAAGAGAGAAAATAATAGATTGTTTTTCTGGTAGAAATTAGAGATGCAATACTTACTGTTATACAGTATACCTTTAAAAACGTTTGGTGAGAAATACTAGCACAGTACATTATGAATACAGTACAGAAATCCAGAAGGATAATGAAGCCACTATGTGGACTTTGAGACAACCATCATGGACTTCATGTCTTGTGCCTAAACATGCAGCAACCGCCTGAGTGTGTGTTGCCTTTGATGAGGAGTATACAGATTCCTTCAACTCCAACAATGAAACCAATGAATATTTGAAGTGGGGGTCAGAGATTGTTTCCCTACAATATCCATGAAATTCAAAACATAGACACCATCTAGCACCCCTGTGCAGAGGCTGTTCAGCCTAGGCAGTCTTGTTTTTTGTATTTTTCTGACAAATGATTCTCTTCATGAGGTACAAAAATCAAAAAGTAAAAAAAAAGCTGTACTAGTCTACTATAAAGCCACTATTTGGTGAACAAGTGACTCAGTTGATAGTATATGACAATACTGCTCAAGCAATGTTGCAGGATAACGCAAAGTAATATGTAAGTAGTGTAACAAATTACTTTCTACAGGAAGCAATTAAGTAAAGTAATGCACTACTTTATATCAAAGTCCTGCACGGCTCCAGTTTTGCAAACCCGCATCCACCGATCTGCGATCTCATATTTTTACTTGCGCAATTATCAGTATAACATGTAGAAACAAAAATCCTGGAGGCTGATTGGCTTGATGATATTTAACAGATTTAAATGTTAAAAATACTCAATCATTTCATTTCTAATTTCTTCACAAGAAACAACACATTTTCACTCTCACCCACTGCCCGCACGCATTTAGTTTATTTTTACCCATACCCGTATCTTATTTATTTATAAATATATTTCTATACGTATATATTTATAAATATAATTCTATACTTATATATTTATAAATATATTTATATAAATATTTTTCACTTCCTTTTTAATTTCAGTCACACTCACTTTTGGTCACTCTATCTGAATTTCAGAGAGTTCATTGATTTGGCACAGTAGAGATTAGTAGAGTTTGATCGATGGCACTGCACAAGTGAACATACAATTAGAGGGAGGAGGAGGTGAAAGAGAAGAAAAACACTGTCACAGAGTTTCTCCTTGAACTTGCTCGTTGTTATTGAGTCCAGGCGAGGGTTTACTCTTCATGCCCTCAGTACCACCCCGCGATGTCTCCTGGAAGAAGAGATGTGGCATCCACACGGACATGATGATCCGCTTGTACTCCCTGCGGAAGTTCTGGTTCAGCAGGCCATATATGATGGCATTAAGGCAACTGTTGAAGTAAGCCATGAAGTAGCTGACAACAAAGAGCCACTCAGGGATGCGAGGCACTACTGCTTCAGGGTTGATAGCAACTGCAAGTCCAATAAAGTTAAGTGGTGCCCAACAAATTGCAAACAGCACAAACACCACAAACATGGTGATAAAGTTCCTCAGGTCGCTGGGCTTGATGCGAGGGCGAATCTCTGACTTTACCTTCCGCCTTACCTGAATGACCAGGATCCAGATACGTAAGTAGCAAAAGGTGACCACAGCAATAGGAACAAAGAAATGGATCACCACCACTGTGATGGTGTAGGACGTGCTGACTGTCTGTGCAAATGTGCATGAGTAGATGCGTGGGTCATACTGTAGTGAGCCAACAAAGAAGTTGGGCACGATGGCTATGACTGTCAGCAGCCAGATGAGTGCCACCAGGAGCAGTGTGTTGCGGTAGCTGTAGAGCTTGTCGTAGCTGAAGCTGTGGCAGATGTAACAGTAGCGATTGATGGCAATGCCTGTTATGTTAAAGATGGAGCCAATAACACTCAAGCCCATCAGGAAGCCACTCACCTGGGGGAGAAGGAGACACAGAGAAAGAGAGGTTGCTTTCATTTATTGTACAAATTAACAGTAGATTTTCCTTAATGAGAAATAACTTTCTCTGGCCACCCTAGTAGCTCACTGGGTAGAGCATGTATCATGTGTCAAAGCTGAGTCTTTACTGCAGCAGCAAATTGCCCAAAATATAGCTTGTAGTAGCTTGTAACTTGCCACTTATAACAAAAGTGTAGTGCTGTTGTATTAATAACTTCCAGTGAAACACAATTTTAAAAAAAAAATTAATGGGCCCTCGCACTCCACGCAA